GAGAGGGAGAGGGTGAGGAAGAGAAACAGATTCTTTGCAAAGTCCAGAGCCTAATCCCAGACCCATGAGATCACCTGAGCCCAAACTGTCCAATGCTCAACAAATGAAGCCACCCAGGTACCCCTAGAGATGAAACATTAAAGATTTACTCTCAGCAACTTTCAAATATACAATACAGTGTTCTTAACTATAGTCAGGAAGCTACCTATACATTGTATCCCTAGGACTGACTTATTTCATAGATGGAAGTTTGTACCTTATCGCCCCCTTCACCCATTTCACCCACTCCGTATACCCTGCCTCTGGCAACCATCAATACGTCCCCTGTTTCTGCGAGTTCACTTATCTTTTAAAGATTCCATATAAGTGAGATCATGTGATATTTGTCTTTTTCCATCAGGCTTATTTCACTGAGCACAATGACCTCAACAAGGTCCATCCATCCATCCACGTTGTCACAAATGGCAAAATTTCTTTCACATATCACTTTTTAAAAAAGATTTAGTATTATTATTTGTTTATTTGACAGACAGAGATCACAAGTAGGCAGAGAGGCAGGCAGAGAGAGGGGGGAAGCAGGCTCCCTGCTAAGCAGAGAGGCCAATGTGGGGCTTGATCCCAGGACCCTGAGATCATGACCAGAGCCGAAGGTAGAGGCTTAACCCGCTGAGCCACCCAGGCGCCCCTCACATATCACTTTGAAATGTACTTTCTTCTCCTCTCTCTGAAATGTCTGATAGAATGCTTGCAATGCTACACAATGTTTTTTTTTTTTTCAAGCCCACTTTACAGACATGAAGACTGAGGCTCAGAGGGCTGGCAGGCTGTTCCCAAAACTGGCAACTCACAGAGCGACTGCTATCTCTGGTCTGACACACACTTGCCCACTTCCTGGCTCTGGGTGTGACTGCCGTCCCTCCAACACTGGCTGGGGGATATTCCATAAGCCAAACCATGTGATTTAGCAGCTGAGACGTTCTTTGTTGGGTGAGAAACACTGGGGATGCTCCAGCCTCCTCTGGCTCAGAGTAGAAAGACCCCACCTGAGGCTTTCTGCCTTGGGAATCAGGGGGAGCCCTGGTCTGATAGACTCTGCCTTTGTGATATTGCAGAGACCTGTTGGGGTCTTAGTCCTTAGTTCAACACCTACATAGGGCTTCAATATGAGGCCAGATTTTGCTGCCCACCTTGACCTTGGTCAGTTGTGTGATCTTATCTGTTGTGCTCTTAGCCCCAGTGTCAAAAGAACATGAATCCACTTGCCTTTTTGTGTGGCATTGGGATCTTTTACATCATACTTGCCTTTGGTGACTTGCCTTCTTCCTTCAGATCTCTGTTCACCCTGCTGCCTGGCACAAGGTGGGACCCCGACCCCTGGCACATCACTTATGTGATATGTTCTTGATCATTTGTTTGATCACTGCCCTTATCTCCACAAGATGTGAGCCCCTTGACAACAGGGACTGGGTCCATTGTGCTCACGGCAGCATCTCAAGTGTCTAAGATATGCTCAACACAGAAGAGATGTTCAAAAACTTATGGTTGTGTGGACAGCCCCTGGAGATTTAGATTTTTCTCCTTATTTTAAAACTGAGAGAAAAAAAAAAGCCAACCCTGGGAATCAGAGAAGTGAAGCCTTTCCCCTCTTTCTCCACGTTCCCTGCAACCTGTCTTAAAGCAACGTTTCTGAAAACTCGAAGACGTGTACACAGTTTTCCTGAGGATCTACTTAGACACAGTTTGGAGTCAATATTTCTGGGTAGGGGTACAGGATTCTGAATTTCCTACCAGCTTTCAGGTAATACCTATGGTGGAGGTCTGAGGACCACTTTGAGTGGCCAATCCTTAGAGCACATGGCTGCAAACCTTTCTTTCATTCCCAGATAGTCAATGAGCATTGACTGTGTGCAAGGCTTTGCTGTCACCTGTACTGTCATATTTACCTAATCAGCTGTGGGGCTGGAGCAAGTTGCTTCCCCTGTATGAACCTCCGGTTCCTCTTCTGTAAAAACAAACTCATGAAAAACAAACAAACAAACAAACAAACAAAACCCAAAACAACAAACTCATGAATGTGATATTGCAGGGCTGTTGGATAATTACACGGCAACAACAGTAGCAATAACAGTGACTGGCATTTACTAGGCCCTTCCTCTGTCCTATGTGTTTTATGTGCACTATCTTTTTTAAATTTAATTTTTAATTTTTTAAATTTAATTTAATTTTTTTCAGTGTTGCAAGATCCATTGTTTATGCCCCACACTTACGTGCACTGTCTTTTAAAATTATTCCTGCTACTTTAAGAGGTGGTGCTAGTGAAATGTCCATGTGCAGATGTAAGGAGCTCTGTCTGGTGGTTTAGGGAATCTAGGGTGAAGTGTGGCTGCCTGGTGCACAGCCAGGCTCCACCAGCTGTAGGACTTCGGGCGAATCAATCACTCAAAGAGCTTTCAGCCTCAGTTTTGTCATCTGCAAAATGAGTGGGGGAAAGTGGTGAATAGATCTATAGGGCTTAAAACAAGATCATGGCTCATGTGGGCAAATGCCATTCCTGCTGTAACTGCCCGGTCACTACTGGCACACAGTAGGTCCACAGTGAGCGGAGCCCCTCTGGGCTTTGAGGGCTCTTTTTCTTGTGTGTCCAGGATTCTGCCTGGATTAGCGTACTCTGGCCATGCCCCCTGACCCCTCTGTGGATGGACCTGCCAGCAGGGGTAGTCTGCCTCCATGGAGAGGAAGAAAAAGCAGGCAGGTGGGGGTGTTGCAACCCACTCCACTGAGTGCTTTAGGTCCAGTCGCCTGAACTCCTGGCCCATGGGAGTGAGGGAGGGGGGAGTTTGGGGCATCACCAGCATCCTACCAGTGTCAGGAGGACTCTTTCCCATTCTTTGCTCAATAGCTTTGCCAGAAGCCCCAATCCCTCATGTCCTCTCTCACCTAAAAGCACCCCATAGACAGTTCTGGACAAGACCAAGGAAGGAGCCCAGAGGGGAGCACTAGTTCCGTTGATTGATGCATCCTGGATGTGAGAGGATAATCTACTGGGCAATGGGAGTGTCTTAAGAATTCTCCTCTGGGTCACCTCATTGCCTGAGATTCCACCATGTAAATGTCCCTGGATTCATAGGGCATTGTCCCTTATGAACAGTGTGGAGCAGCATGGCAGAGGGGAAAGGCCTGGGCTTGGGGAATATGACAGACCTGGCTTCCTTCCAGCTCCGCAACTTGGGCTAGAGGCTTGCCCTCTCTGAGCCTCAGTTTTCTCTGCTGTTAAATAGGTATCCTCCCTCGTGTGGACGTCATCTCCTGGGTCTCTCTTCCTGATTCAGGGCACTGGCTCAGAAGCTGAGGACAGGGTGAAGCATTAGCTCATAGGCAGATCATCTGGCACACAGTAGGATTACTTTATGTAGCACACCTGGCACACTGAAGGAACATTTTGTGCGCAGTACCTGGCACTCAGTGGACATGCTTTATGTGGAGCCCCTAGTACATACCCCAGTAGGCACTCTTTATGTAGTATGTCTGGCACTCAGTAGGTATGCTTTATATAGAACACCTGTCATACTGTAGTCAGATTTATGTAAAGTACACAGCAAATCGCAGGTACACTTTGTGTAGAGTACCTGGCACCCAGTAGACATGTTTTATGTAAAGTATTTTGCACAGAGTAGGCTCACTTTCTGTAAAGCACCTGACGCATAGTAGGTGTGCTTTATGAGGGCATCCGGCACACAGTAGGTATATTTTACATAGAACACCCAGCACACAGTAGGTGCGCTTTACATAAAGTACCTAGCACATGGAAAATGTGCTTTAGTTAGAGCTCCCAGCACTTGGAGACATGCCTTAGGGAGGGTACCCAGCGCACAGTAGGCATGCTTTAGGTACACCACCGGGCATACATAGGATTTGTGGAGAGTACCTGGCACACAGTGGGAGCACTTATATAGTGTACCTGACACATAGTAAGCACAGTTCATGTAGAGTTTCCAACACACTGTAGGCATACTTTTTGAGGTGCCCAGCACACCGTAGGCACACTTTACACACAGTCTTCTGCAAGAGTAGGTTTACTTTATTGGAGTGTTGGCACACAGCAGCACAAATACTAGAGTCAATCCTTTCTCTTCAGCCTGTCCTTTTGGAGGGTTCTGATCCTTTCCATCTTCCTGTGGAACTATCTTCTGTCCTAATCTCAGGCCCTCATCGGACCACCCTCCATTTTCCAGATGGTAAGACTGAGTCCAAGGGTGCTGGCACAGCTCACAGTCACAGCCAGGATGGGGCAGAACTCCATGCAGGGTCTCCCAGCTCTGCTTCCTCTGTCTGGCCACACCGTCTCCTGGCCCCCCAACCCCCTGCAGCCTTACCTCCTCACCCCCAGGTGTCCCCTTCTGACTGGGCCCCTGACCCCCTGAATCTGACGCAGGTAACCCCCAGACAGGCCGGTTCCTTTGTTCCTGCGCCAGCAGTCATGTCTCAGCCCAGGCCCTGGGCTGCTTGGAGGCAGGACTTGAACTCCTGCCAGGGTGTGCAGTCGGGGGGCCAGAGGCTTCCTGGTTCTGTGCTAAAAACTAGTGCAGGCCACCCTCCTGACTCACGCATACGGGGGGGAGCCCCAGATAAGTTTTAGGCCTGATCCTGTTCCCATGACACCTGAACTCTCAAGATTTGGCCTAATCCTGTTCCCATGACACCTGAACTCTCAAGTTCAATTTTTTACCTGCTGCACCCCAGCTTTGAAAGGGCAGGGGTGGCTGTTAACTTGGGCGCCCAGTGTCACCTTTGCCCATCCCCCAACTCACCCCCTACCCCACGTGGGAAGCACATTGAGTTCTGAGGATCCAGCACCCAAACTCTCTTGATAACACTGAAGTCCCCCTCCCCCACCCACCATTTGGGCCACTGCCAGGTGGGGAGGAGGAAAGCAGACAGGCGGGATTGGCTGGCTTAGCCTGGCCCCTGGCAGTGTTGTCCCCTAGGTCAGGGGCCAGAGGCAAAGACTTCCCCAGAGGAGAGGAGAGGAGAGGAGAGGAGAGGAGAGGAGGTTGTGTGGCTAAGCTGCTCCTGACTGAAGGTACCAGGCTGGGTGTTCTGGGTGGGGAAGGATGCTGCCCCACGTGGGGATGAATCCAGGGAGCAGCTGTCCTGGGGTAAGAGGGGCTACCAGTGGGAGGTTAACTATCTTTCACTCTGTCTCTGTTTCCCTTTTTCTCCCTCTCACTCTACCTCTTCCTCTGGAATTCTTCTGATTCTCTTCCCCCCTTTGGCAACGCGCCCCCCCCCCACCCCAGCCCCACACAGTTTGCCCAGTTCGCAATGTTCACTTTCTCTGCCCCTTCCTGTCTCTCCCATCCTGTCCCTGTCCCTCTCATCCTGGGTCTGTTTGTGAGCAGTCTGGGGAGCTCACCTTTCTGCCCCATTCCTGGGTCTCAGGAACTCACCCTCTATTCCCTCTGTCCCAGGATGTTACAGCTGAGCCTGTCCTGGCTGGGATTGGGGCAGCTGGCAGCCTCCCCGTGGCACCTCCTGCTGCTGGCTGGGGCCGCCTGGCTGCTGGCCCGCATCCTGACCTGGAGCTACAGACTGCATGACATCTGCTGCCGTCTCAGGTGTTTCCCTCAGCCTCCAAGGCGCAACTGGTTCTGGGGTCACCTGGGCCTGGTGAGTGTAGGTAGGAGACGGGTCTGGGGGATCAGGGAGGATGGAGTTCTTGAAGGATCTGGAATGGGGATCAGGGCTTGGGCTGGAGTCTGGGCCCGGGAGGAAGTTGGGAGGCTAGCGGAGCTCCTCTTTTCTCACTCATTCTTCTACTCTGCCATCCCAGGCCATTTGCATATTTTTGCCCTCCCAACTTTCACCCGTTTCATCCACTTCCTGCCTCTCTTCCCTACATTAATGTCCCTCTGAAGAGCTCCCATGGCAGGCTGCACAGGCACAGTCCCCTGGGGCTCCCAGGGCTCATAGGTAACTTAGACACCTTTTCAAGGGTGCTGTACAGGGCGGGTGTCCACCCCCTGCCTGGCCCATTCCCTTGTGTCTGCTCACTTGCCTACTGGTATTAGCTATGACCTCACCACCCTGACACACAGGGGTCTAGCTTCCCACCCATGCCACTTCCCAGGGCAGCTTCCTCTTCCCTGCTAAGATGTCCCAATGGGCCCATTACCCAACCTGAATAAAGTTAACTGCTCACTTCCCCTTGCACAAGCTTTCTTTGACCCCTCTCCTGCACCCCAAATGTTGACTTTTGATATGGGTCTGCTATGCTTAATTAGAGAGTTAATTGTCCAATTACTTATCTTCCACCTATCCAACTAGATAGTTGCTCTGGGGAGCAGACATCTGAATGCCCAGCCCAGGGGCTGACATACAACAGACACGCTGTGTTTGATGACATAGGCGGTAAATTTGCAATCACCTGCCATGGTCAAGGCCATGATGAGCCTTGGATGAGCAGTTAGCTGCTCGTATCCACTGCTCAGGATGAGGACCATGGCTGGAGGAAGGACTTCCTGTGATTTTACTGCTTATCGCTTAGGTTGGAATGGGACATTCTGGGACAGATTGTGAAGGTTGCCTGAGATTCTGGGTCTTAGAACGTTCTTAACAAACCCTGGGCATAGCAGGAACGTTATCAATTTATTGTTTCCACTCCCCCTCCAGGGCTTGGCCATGGAGGCTGGTCTGGGTCACTCTTCTCTAGTTCCTCTTGCTATGTGAGCTCAGCTGAGTCACTCTCCCTCTCTGGACCAACCTCATAATTGCCTCAGGGTTCCTGGGGAGCAGGGAGCCATCAGAAAGGTGAAAATGCTTTCTGTTCACCTGTCTGTAGCACCTGAGAGTATTTGTCAGGCCAGGATGGGACATCCTGGAGGGATGGAGAGGGACTGAAGAGGATGTATCTCTAGGAGTTAACCATGCCCCCAATTCTCCATTTGGGGGATATGGCCTGGTTTCCTCATTCGTAAAGGGCACAATTGATCAGAGTTCATAAGTTCAGGGGTGATATATAGATAAAGAGATAGATAGACAGGATGTTCTATGCACAGCCTGGCCAGGCAGTAGGCACTCAAAGGTGGGAGCTACCCTCCTGAGTGATGAGCAGAGATACATCTGTCCCTTGGGGTCTTCCAGGGGCTGGAATGTCTTCAGACCCTTCACTGTGTGGGAGCTGGGGGTATATGGATTGGCCAGGACATGACAGGGTGTGGGAATGAGCCCCAGTACAAGTCCTGAGGCCACCCTGCTGACCACAAACCTCCCCCATGGGAACCTTGCTGAGGTTGGAATCACTCCCAGGAGAAGAAGAATCTCATTTCTCAAGCCATGGTCAGACTCTCTGTGGGCAGAGAGCGTGTCTTCTCCTTGTGACCTGGGTTGCAGCCTTGGGACATGGAGAGGCCTTTAGGACCCTCCTGTCCCCAGAGGGAAGGCAGAGGTTCCCTCCATCCATGCAGAATCTGGACACTCTGTCCACTGTAGAGGCTGCAGGGAGACCTGCCTTGGCTCCTTCTGGGGAGGTGACGGCCCCTGTTTCCTTGTAGGCCCCCCCCACGGAGCAGGGTTTGAGGGTCATAAGTCAGCTGGTGGCTACCTACACCCAGGGGTTCAAGTTGTGGATGGGTCCTATCTGGCCCCTGGTCGTTTTGTGCCACCCCGACATGGTCCGGAGTGTCACCAGCATCTCAGGTACTCATGCGGAGCTTGTGGTGGTGGGTGCTTTGACACACCCCAGGGCTTCCAACCCCTCCATCTCCAAGCTTCCCTGTAGCCCCTGCAGGTCCCTGGGCCCTCCTCCTCTCTTCTCTCTCAGCCATCCTCCTCTTCCCTTCTGGTATTTGCCAACCCCGGTCTCTCCCTCTCCTCCCTCCACTGCTCAATCCAAGGCTCTGTCCTGGAGGAAACCCCAATCTTGAAATGATGGATCCAGACAGAGAGATTCCCAAACTGATGAGGTAAGGAATTGGCCAGAGGGAGATAGCTGTGGCAGCCCAGAGGAGAATCAAGGCCTCTGCTGGGGCAGGCTGGGAGACTTCCTAGAGGAGGAGTTACTGGACCTGGGACTGGGAAAAGACCAAAAATCTTAAAAAAAAAAAAAAGATTTTATTTATTTATTTGACAGAGAGAGAGGTCAGAAGTAGGGAGACAGAGACAGAGAGGGGAAGCAGGCTCCCTGCTGAGCAGAGAGCCTGATACGGGCCTCGATCCCAGGACCTTGAGATCATGATCTGAGCCAAAGGCAGAAGCTTAACCCACTGAGCCACCCAGGCACCCAAGACCAAAATCCTTTTAAAGGACAGGGCAGAGTGATGCAGCGGACACTGATAGCATCTGAGGTCCCCTGCTGGGCCTGGTCTCACTCTCACCCATCCCCAGGGCCAGAACAATGAGGGTTGTCACCTGGTGGATACCTGGGCTGCTATTTCTGCGACATCCATAGACATTCTGGTGGGTTGGTTCCTTCCACCCTAGCCTACAGCTTGTCCACTGCAAGTTCATTGCTCTCCTGCACCAGGCCCCAGGAATCTCCCTGAGGAGAGCCCACTCCAGCCTGGCTCCCTTCCTTATCTTCTGCTTCCTCTACCTCCAGACAGACCAGACTGAGCAGGGAAATGAGCAGCATCTGACAGAGACCCTGGCTTTTTAACACCCGAATTCTGGTTGACTCTGGGAAGGCCCCTTGTTCTCTCTGAATGCCAGAGTCTCTTTCAGTTGTGAGTGGTAGAAACTCAATCCTATGTGGTCCAATCAAAGAAAGGACATCTATTTACAGTGAAATCCAGGGATGTTGTCTTCAGGTATGGCTGGATAAAGGTCTCAAACAACATCATCAAAATCTGTCTTCATTTTTTTGTTGCTGTTGTTGTTTCCCACTGTGATAGCTTCACTCTCATTCTTGTAAAGATGAGTCCCCCAAGCTCAAGCCCCGTGGAAAAGTGACCATATTCCGAAGAGTTACAGGAAAAGTTGAAGAACTCCCTTTCATTTTCCTGGCCTGCATCCCAGGGTTGACTTTTAATTAATTAATACATTTTATTTATTTATTTGAGAGAGAGAGAGAGAGAGAGAGAGAGAGACAGAGAAAGAGAGAGAGAATGCATGAGCAGGTGGGAGGTGAGAAGGAGGGAGAGAGGGAGAAGCAAACTCCCTGCTGAGCAGAGAGCCTGATGTGGGACTCAATCCCAGTACCCCAGGATCATGAACTGAGCCAAAGGCAGATGCTCAACCGACTGAACCACCTAAGTGTCCCGATTTTTCATTTAATCACGGTGGATCTGATTGTCTAGTCTTGGCAAGCACACGTTCTCAGAGCTATTCTTTTGGGGCTCAAAGCAATTCCGTGGCTAAGAATGGAGACTCTGCATTCAAAGACAGACCTGGGCTTAGATCTCTGGAATGCACTCAGTACCTGGAAAGTAACTTCATTGTTCAGAGCCTCAGTTCTCTTATCTGGAAATTGGGGATAGAAGAGAAGCCAGGTGAACTTGATGTTTAGGATCCAAAATGGGGAAAGGCCCCTTTTGTTCTTGTAACCAAGGGACCCCAATTGTCATATGGATGGACTGAGGAGGGATCCCAGGAGGAGGCTGGGCTGCCAAAGGGTATTCATGGGGTTCAGGTCTGGGTCTTTGTCCTGCACGTACTTCTATCCTATGACCACCTAGAAAAAGTATGAATTGGGCCCTCTTTGTTCCTCTCCAGATTCAGAGCTCAGAGGAAGGTCTGCTGTACACACAGGACCTGGCAAGCACCTATGGGGATGTGTGCTGCTGGTGGGTGGGTCCCTGGAACGCGGTGATCCGCATCTTCCACCCCACCTGCATCAAGCCCGTGCTCTTTGCTCCAGGTAGACACACCATGACCATGGCTTACTCACTGCTGAGGTCTCTGTGCTGCTTCCAGCTTGGCTGGTGACCCAGTTGCAGATAGGAGGGGCTGTGGCAGAGATGCCACTGTCTCTGTCTCACCTGCACCCCCACCGGCCAGACCCACAGTCATGTGTGCTCATGCCTAGGGTGTGATTATGCAGTGTGTGCTGTATGACCATGTCTAGTGACATTTATGTTTCCACCTGCCTTCTGGTTACAGCCGGTGTACATTACACTTGGTTATACCTGCCTGGTATATGGTTATACCTGCTATCAAGTGAAGGTTCCCTTTGTTATGTCTGGGGCTCGGCTGTGGCCAAGGATATTTGAGACATGTGTGGGTTCTATCTGGTTTTTGTCCGAGATGCCATTTGAGATATCTGGTTCTCCTGTTGGTCATTTCTGGGCCATGTCTGGGGTTTGTCTGAGGTACGCGACCCAGAATTCTTCTGAGAAATGCTGAGGCTTTGTGTGAGTCTTGTCCAGAGCCTGTCTTAGGTTATGTCTGTGTCATACCTAGTCCACAGCTGTGACATTAGTGGGGTCATATTTAAGTCTTGTCTGAGGCCGTCTGAAGGACATGCTGATGTTGTATCAAGTTGTCTTTGGGTCCATGTCAGAGCACGTTGCATCCTGTCAATGTGTGTTATGCACAATGTTTCATGTTAGGATGTGTTAACACATGGTGGGGCCATGTCAGTTGTTGCAGGAGAGGTCAGGGGTTCTGGGACAGATGAGGTGTCCTGGGACTCTGTAAAGGCATTTTGTGGAGTGCTGACTTGTGTTTGGGTGTTTTGAACACATTGGACCAGGTAGGAGCCTTGTCAATTTATGCTGGGGTGTTTTTTGCCATGTTAGGGTGCATCTATGTACATGGGGTTATGTCTGCAGGCTCTGCATTTGTTCTACTCTGAGGTGCAGCCTGGTATGGTCTCCCCTCACTTTCCCACTCCTCTCTGTTTTCTCTGCCCTTGTTTCCATTCCTGCTATGCTGGGCTTGGAGGGGGTATGGAGACTCCTGGCGGCAGCTTCTATCCCCCCAAACCAAAGCACTTCCCCTTCCCCTCTTATGAACCCTGATGGTCCTCCTTCATGTCAGCTGCCATCGTACCCAAGGACATGGTCTTCTACAGCTTCCTGAAACCCTGGCTGGGTGAGTAACTGTGGGTAAAGGGGACTGGGGACAACCTTGGGGGCCCAAAGAAGGCACTGCCCTTGCCTACTCCTCATTGCTGTTTCTACTAGGGGATGGGCTCCTGTTGAGTGCTGGTGACAAATGGGGCAGCCACCGCCGCATGCTGACACCTGCCTTCCACTTCAACATCCTGAAGCCCTATGTGAAGATTTTCAATGGCAGTGTGAATGTCATGCATGTGAGTCTCTTGAACCCAAGGTCCCAGCTGAAGTTTTGGTGGTGATGGGGGCTCTGTGACATCTTGTCTGGAATACTGGCTCTTCTAGATTAGCTTTGGGGCCATTGCTCTTCCTCTCTGAGTCTCAATTTTCTCAGCTGTAAAATGGGAGTAATGGTCCCCACATTGCAGGGTGGGAAAGATAATGAAATATGTTCATGTTCCTGGCACACAGTAGGTTCTTGGAAGGTGTTAGTTTTTATGTTTCCCTTGCAAAGAAGCCTTGGAACCTGAGACACAGTTGAATGTCATGAACATCATACAGTAGTTATTACTGAATTAATAATGAACCACTTTCAAAATCAGTGTTTTCAAACAATGAGGGTTTATTAGTGCTAACAAGTCTATGAGTTAGTTGTCAGGGTCTTCTGGACATGGATGGGGTCACATCCTTAGTCAAAGGTCATACCTTTGACTAGCTGTGGGTCAGGTATATACTTTGCAGATCTGGGCATTCACATGTTTGGGGCTTGGCTGGCTGCAGGTTGATCTAGGATGGTCTCAGCTCAGACAACTGAACTTTCTTTAATGTGATTCTCTCCTTCCAGAAGGCATCTCAGATTTGTTCACATGGCTGAGGCAGGGACCCGAGAGGCTGAGAGGAAGTTTCAATGCCTCTTGAGATCTAGGTTTGGGAAGATCACTTCATTGTTTTCACCATGGTCTGTTGGTCAAAGCAAGGCAAAAGACCAGCATAGAATCAAAAGGTAGTGAAAAAGGCTCCACGTCTAAATAGAAATTGCTGAAAAATCACATTGCAGAGGGTGTGGCTATAGGGAACTGAAGAAAAGGAGGTTGGGGTTTTGCAAAGTGCCTGGGATTTTTTTCATACTTGTAAGCTGAGGAGTGAGATTGGTATTGTTTTGTGGATTCTGTCAGAAGACAGGAGACTCCTGTTTCAGAGACAAAGGATAGTTTATTACTCATAGTACAGCAAGCACACATGCTTCTTGATTGCATTTTTTTCTCTAAGTCCCCAAGTCCCAACCTCCCTGGTGGTCTAGTGGTTAGGGTTCGGCGCTCTCTCTCCCAAGTCCCATGAGGCCAACACAGGTGGGCTTCAATGTTTATGCAGTATGTCACATGACAGGGCAGGGGTACTAGGTTTAGGGACTCTATGACTTTTAGGAAATTAGAAGGAAGTCTGACATTTGTCCAGAGGGAAATATTACCTTATCACTAAGGGTGCTTGCTGCAAACACAATTCTGAGAAATGGCTCAAGTAAAGAACATCAAGGTCTTGCATTTTTTTGGCATACCATCTAGAATGTGCAGGGGTACTCAGGGCCCCAGGACTATCCACAGACTACCTTTTCTTAATTTATAACAATTAAAATGATGAAAATCAACATTTTTTCAGAACTTACTATACGCCAGAATCTATGTGTACATTCCACGGCATATGGTATCTCATTTGATTTTCACAACTTTATGAGGTAGATATAATCTTGTCCATTATAAGTGATAAAAATGAGGTTCAGAGAGGTTAGGGAGCTTGCCCATGTTCACACAGCTAGCACATGAGCTTATAAGTGGAGCTGGGATTCCAACCTGGTTTATTGTTCACCAGAGCAAGTCATCTTAACTCTTACTGAAGCTTTGGCATGTGGCGACCAGAGAGGGCAAGAATTGACCAAGGACAATAGAGTATGGGAGGCAGAGCCAGAATTTGAACTCAGGTCTCCGGACTCTCAGGCATGGGGCCTTAATAGTAACAGTTTCTACTTCTACCCAGGCCTGGTGCTCCTTGAGGATGGGTGCCTGGGGCCAAGAGGCTGGGTTTGGGGGATTCCATCTTGGTGGCTGGTATTGGGGAGGGCTTCAGGGAAGGCAGGTTCCAGCCCCAGCTCTTCCTCCTTCTCTTCCCAGGCCAAGTGGAAGCGCCTGGTGTCAGAGGGTAGCAACCATCTGGACATGTTTGAACACATTAGCCTCATGACCCTGGACAGTCTGCAGAAATGTGTCTTCAGTTTTGACAGCAATTGCCAGGAGTGAGTCTCTGCCCTGGGAATGGGAACATAAGCCATAGATGGGGGAAGGGAACACTGATCAGCACAATCAGAAAGGACTTCCTGGAGGAGATGGATCAGAAGTAGACATTGAAGGGCAAGGAAGGGGAAGAGAAAAAGTGATCCTTTTAGGTAGTTAGAAATGTTTGATAAAGGACAAGGGGCCACGATGAGCAAATCATGTGCCACAGTGAGGAGCCGCCTTGGGAATGAGGGTGGAGCAGTTGGGTGGGGCTGTATCTTAAGGACTTTCAAGATGCAGACAAAGGCATATGAACTTTATTCATGTGCCATTCCATATCATGGAAGGCGGTGAGCCAATGATAGTCATGGTCAAAGCTGTTCTTGAACATCTGACTCTAGGGAAGACCAATTGCTGTGTAGATGGTGCATGGTATTGAAATTGAATGCAAGAGTAGAGAGAGGCCTGGGTCTATAAAGAAGGTAAAGTCTGAGCTGTATGGAGAGAGAGGAGAAATGCATAATGTCTCAGCTGGGATAGGGTGCCTGGGGCATGGGGGCAGTTCACAGAAATGGGAATCAGGGAGAGAAGAAGTTCTGGAGAGTTAAGTCTCCTGGATCATCCCCACCATGTACCTGTGGGACAATCTGTTTTCTGATACTCAGTTTTCTGATGGGAGGTAGCTCCCAGCTTCTGGTGGGAGGCCTTTTCTCAGTGTTGAGGTGAGCTAAGTTGTTGCCCCGCTTCATGTCCTCATCCTGCAGGAAGCCTAGTGAATATATTGCTGCCATCTTAGAGCTCAGTGCCCTCGTGGCAAAACGGCATCAGCAGATCCTCCTGCACACGGACTTCCTGTACTACCTCACTCCAGATGGACAGCGCTTCCGCAGAGCCTGCCGGCTGGTGCACAACTTCACAGATGCTGTTATCCAGGAGCGACGCCGCACTCTCCCTGATCAGGGTGTTGATGACTTCCTCGAGGCCAAGGCTAAAACCAAGACTTTGGACTTCATTGATGTCCTCCTGCTGACCAAGGTGTGTTTCTCTGGGATCTAAATATAAGAGGTAGAATGGACCTTGATTTCAAATTTCAGATTGAAGAACTTATACTTGATCCAGAGGGCAATGGGGAGCCATGGAAGCTGCTTGAGGAAGGGAGGGATGGATTAGAGGGATGTTTTAGAGAAGACTATGTGGAATGCAGCCTGCAGTGTACTGTTAAGTCTGACAGTGGGATGGGCCTGAGATTTTACTCTACTTAATAAGGTAGGCTTGTGTGTGTGTGTGTGTGTGTGTGTGTGTGTGTGTGTGTGTTTATATACCAGAACCCTAGATCAGAGAAGCCCATTTATTGCTCACAAAAGTAAGAGTAGACAGAAAGGCTACTTTGTAGGCATGGTTCCTCTTTCTGAAATTCTTCTGAGACCTACAGGATGCTTGTATGTGTACATGCATCCAAGCTTCCATCACAGGAGCAGTAAGCCTACATTATTAATCCTGGAACTTATGAAGGACTGCTGACATATCTGCCCCTTCTTCGTGTGTGTGTGTGTGTGTGTGTGTGCACACGAGTGTGTGTGAGTGAGAGGGAGAGACAGAGAGAGAGAGAGTTTTAAAGTATAAGCAAGTCACTACTGGGTATTTACTCCAAAGATACAGATGTAGTGAAAAGAAGGGCCATCTGCACCCCAATGTTCATAACAGCAATGGCCACAGTCCCCAAACTGTGGAAAGAACCAAGATGCCCTTCAACGGATGAATGGATAAGGAAGATGTGGTCCATATACACTATGGAGTATTATGCCTCCATCAGAAAGGATGAATACCCAACTTTTGTAGGAACATGGATGGGACTGGAAGAGATTATGCTGAGTGAAATAAGTCAAGCAGAGAAAGTCAATTATATGGTTTCACTTACTTGTGGAGCATAAGGAATAACAGGGAGGACATTAGGAGAAGGAAGGGAAAGGTGGATTGGGGGAAATCGGAGGGGGAGACAAAACATGAGAGACTGTGGACTCTGAGAAACAAACTGAGGGTTTTGGAGGAGAGGAAGTGGAGGGATGGGTGAGCCTGGTGGTGGGTATTAAGGAGGACACATGTTGCATGGAACACTGGGTGTGGTGCATAAACAATGAGTCTTGGAACACTGAAAAACTAAACTAAACTAAACTAAAATAAAGTACAAGCAAGTCCTCTTCACTGAGAAGGCAATGTCTGTAGGTTCTGTTGGCTTATTGCCAGGGTAGATGAGGAATCTCTGGATTTACTATCCTAGAATGTGAGCAAATGTCTCTGGAGCAATGCTCAATCTCCAACTTCCAAGGGAAGTTGTCATTCAATCTCCTGTAATCCAGGTTGCCGGTAACTTTTTTCCCAGAAAGTTTTCATCATGTAGAAACATGAAAATAGTCATGAATCATTGATTCCTTCCATGAGGGACAAAGAACGGGGTAAAGAGGCCTGGGAGGAGGGCTGTGGTGCGGGGTCTCTGGTGATAGTGAACAAAGGAGGTGTGAGAGTGCAGGGCTTGGATCTCTGGATGGATGGTGGAGGTTCAGAGCTTGTCTCAGGTTAGGCTCAGGAGCTCTCAGAGCTGATGTGACTGGGTGCATGTGTGGGGGTATGTCTTATTTCTCTCCAGGATGAAGATGGAAAACAATTGTCAGATGAGGACATCCGAGCAGAGGCTGACACCTTCATGTTTGAGGGTGAGCATCCCAGTGTGGGACTATGAGGGAGTGGGGCAGGGGTCTGGCAGGGGTCTGTCCAGTCCCAGGAACTTGATAGGTGGGCCCTGGACCAGCCCACCCCACCCCATCCTCCCTGGGGGCCTTAATTAAAGGCGCTGTCCACCTTCTGGTGCTGAATAAGCCCAGAGACCCAAGCCTGTCTGGCTGCTTCTCAGGCCATGACACCACAGCCAGTGGCCTCTCCTGGGTCCTGTACAACCTTGCAAAGCATCCAGAATACCAGGAGCGCTGTCGGCAGGAGGTGCAAGAGCTCCTGAGGGACCGTGAGCCTCAAGAGATTGAATGGTGAGTGCAGGTCCTCATGGTTTGTTCCTGAACCTCTCTTTGGCTTTGCTCCCCAGCTGGGGAAGGGGAAGAATCTTTTGGTTAATTCTGTCATTATTGCTTAGTGAGAATAGGAGCAAAGCTCAGAGGCAGGGTCTGTGCCCAGTCTGGAGAGCAGGGGGAAATTGAGAAAGATTTCGCTGCTGACAGAATAGTGACAATGTCTGAAGGCCGATGATGCCACTTAGTACATTTTCATTAAGTGAACTTCCATTCCATTCTCTTACTTTTCTCTCTTAAATCAATTTTTTTTGTCCTTAACATCTTCACTCCTTAAATGTTTGCTTCTCTCTTGCCTTCTAATTCCTTCCATATTGTTCGGTTCAGGATTCATAGGGGATACGTGGTTTTAAAATCATTCAATTCTTGTCCAGGAATACCAGCACCTTCAACCATCCAGCCTCCATTCAGAGAACACTGCCACACTACCTTTCCATTCCCAATTCTGTACCTTCTCCAATTCATCCTAGCTCATTCTGTGTGCTGGAGACCCAAGAAGGACCAGCCCTGGCCCTTGTCTTCCAAGAGCTCCAGACTTGTGGGGGAATTGTCTCAGGCCAGGACACTCCTGGTCCACATAGGCTGGACTAGGGAGGAGAGTATGAGAGGCAAGTCTAAGGGTAGAGAGAGCGCCTCTGCTGGGACCCTGAGTGACGATTGGTAGATATTTGGGTGTAGTTAGGGTGCAGTTAGTTCAAGAAGACAGAGTGGGCAAAGTGAAGAGGAGTAGAGGAAGGGAAGAGGGAAAGGGAGAAGAGAGGGGGAAGGAGGGAGAAAGGGAGAGATAGAGAGAAGGAGAAAAGGAAGGAGGGAGAAGAGAGAAAGAGAAAGAGAGGCAGACAGGCAGAAACATAGGGGGAGAGAGAAATAAAAAGAGAAAGAGACACTGACTCATGGTGAGGTGACATGGCTGGGGAATGGTAACAGAGACTGGTTGTGGGAGACTTTAGAATCAATGCCATTGGCCTCAATTGTTAACCCAAGGGCAATGGGGGAACTGTGGGGATTATTTGAGCAGGAGGAGGACAGGTCAGATCTGGGTACCAAGAAGATCTTTCTAGGGCTAGTGTGGAGAACATACTGGAGAGGACAAGCTGTAGCATGGGGACCAGGGAGGGGATTTTGAGGCCTGGGTCAGGCCAGGGGCTTGGGGATGTAGAGCAGGCATTGGACTGGACAGGCATCTTTTTTTTTTTTTTTTAAAGATTTTATTTATTTATTTGACAGAGAGATCACAAGCAGGCAGAGAGGCAGGCAGAGAGAGAGGGGGGAAGCAGGCTCCCTGCTGAGCAGAGAGCCCGATGCGGGCCTCGATCCCAGGACCCTGAGATCACGACCCGAGCCGAAGGCAGAGGCTTTAACCCACTGAGCCACCCAGGCGCCCATGGACAGGCATCTTGTAGGTAGCATTTTCCATGCCATGCCTTCACTCAGCATAGCAGCCCTGTGAGGTAGAATAGAGAAACACTTTTATGCTGTTTCAACCAAGATTTCAAAAAAAAAATACACTTGGTTAAAAAAAAGGTATATAAAAAGAGAATTTATTTATTTTATTATTTTTTGGGGGGGTAAGTTAGGGGAAAAAGAGAATTTATAGTCAGGGCACCTGGTTGCTCAGTCGGTTAAATGTCCAACTCCGGATTTTCACTCGGGTCATGGTCTTGGGGTTGTGAGATTAGGCCCTGTGTCCGGCTCCACACTAAGCATGAAATGTGCTTAAGATTCTCTCTCTCCCTGCCTCCCTCTCCCCCTCAAATAAATTAATAAATCTTTAAAAGAAAGAGAAGGTTTATAATAGAAATGAAGTTTTTCTTAATCCTCACCCTAGGAGTAACTCCTATTAATGATTTCCTGTGTGTCCTTCCAGAAGATGACTGTCCTTATAAATACATGAAAACTATCTCCCTACCCCCACCAATGGGAATTAAGGTCTACACATTAGCAAAGAGTCTTTGAGATCTTTTCATTTCCTCAAAACACAACTGTTGGAAAAGAGTTTTGAATTACAAAAACAATGATGAGAACAAGTTCTTGCCCTGAGACATAGAGGAGACTACAGTTATCATTGACGTCCTCCCCCTCAGTTGAATCTCCTTCTCTCTCCCCAGGGATTTCTAGATTCATTGATTTATCATGTGTCTTTCCATAACTGTCTATCTGTACATCTGTCTATCTCTCTATCATCTCTGTCATCTCTCTCTCTCTCATCTTTTTGTCCTTAACACATTTTACATTTCCATATACATACAGTTTGTGACTTGTTCCATTCCCTCAACATGTGTCTTATGGCTCTTTCTTTCTGTGTTCTGCATAGCTGCCCATAGTTTACTTGGTTCACCCCATTATGAGGTCACTTATGTTAGTATTCTCAATTATACTGGACATTGATGAATTGCCTTCCAGAGTCTCTGCGCTGATTTACCTTTCAGCCTGCAGTGTGTGATAGGACTTCAGAGCTCTAGTTCCTCCTTTTTGATTGCTGTGTAATATTCTACCATATGGCTTTACCATAATTTATCTAAACCTCTCCCATTGATGGATACTTGGATTGTGTCTAATCTTTTCATAAAATAAATATGGGGTAGTCAACATCTGTGAACACTGACCCATGCTTACACATGTGAATGTCTCTCCAGTGCAAATTTCTGGAAGGGTAATTGCTGAGTCAAAGACAGTCCAAGTTTTTATCATTTTAGTAGCTATTGCAAATCTGTTCCTGTCCACTGAAGTTGATGATGCCAGCTTTCTCATACCTTTACCTTTGTTATTATTGTATTGAATTTTATTTTATTTTATTTTTAAAGATTTTATTTATTTATTTGAGAGAGGGAATGAGAGAGGGAAAGAGAGAGTGTGAGAAGGGGAAGGGTCAGAGGGAGAAGCAGTCTCCCCACCAAGCAGGGAGCCCAATGCGGGACTTGATCTTGGGACTCCAGGGTCATGACCTGAGCTGAAGGCAGTTGCCTTACCAACTGAGCTACCCAGGTAACCCTGTATTGAATTTTAAATCTTAGCCAATTTTTCATATTTCCTCTTTTTAGGAATGTTTCTTTAAATTAAGAGTCTTAACATCTTTTGCACATTTTGGGGGGCTACTCCCAAAATTTTTTAATATTTAGGTATAATGGACATACATTCTATTACTTTTAGGTATACAAGAAATGAGTTGATATTTGTATATATTGCAAATGATCACCACAATTGTTCTAGCTAAAATTTGTCACCATATGTAATTATAGAATTTTTTTCTTGTCATGTGAACTTTTAAGACCTATTCTCTTAGCAACTTCCAAAAATGCAATACAGTGTGATTACCTACAGTATCGTAGTCAATACACTTTCTGAGTTAGAGTTTTCATCTTCTTTGGATAACTACCCAGAGGTGAGATTGCTGGATAGTGTGGTGGTTCTGCTTTTTAATTTTTTTGAGGAAACTTCATACTGTTTTCCACAGTGTCTGAATCAATTTACAATCCCACCAGTGGCGCACAGTATTCCTTTTTCTCCACAACCTCATAGGCATTTATTATCTCTTGTGTTTCTGATAATAGCTATTCTAATAGCTGTGAGGTGTGAGATGAGATCTCAATGTAGTTTTGATTTGCATTTCTCTGATAATTAGTGATTTTGAGCACATTTTCATGTACCTGTTGGCCATCCATGTGTCCTCTTTTAAAAATGTCTATTCAGGTCCTTCTTCTGCGCATGTTGATAGGCCATTTGTATTTCACTTTATGTGAGCAGTACTCACCTTTTTTGTTGTTTCTCTGAGTTTTTCTCTTTCTTCATATTTACTTATAATGACTCACTTAAAAATAATCCTTTTCTGTCTTGTGTTGCAAAAGATAGCCTTTTGACTTTTGAGGGAGCACTTTTGGTTAATTTTTATGGAGACACATTTGTCTAAACTTTCTTTCACAGCCCTACTGTCTGTCCTTATTATAGGATTTTGTGCATTTCCCTTACCAGATGGTAAGGCTTCACTTACTCACATCTTCTGTTGCATGAGTCTCCTTTCCTGTTCTTGCCACACAGCCACACTGTGTGTTTCTTTGTTTGATCACCGCATCTTTGTGGTAGGTCTTAATGTCTGGCAGAGTGAGTTTCTCTTCCTTAATCTTTCATTTTTATTTTTTATTAAAAAAATTTTTTAAAAAGATTTTATTTGTTTATTTGAGAGAGAGAGAGAGAGAGAGAGAGCAGAAGCAGGGGAAGTGGCAGGTGGAGAAGAAGAATCCCCACTGAGCAAGGAGCCCGACTTGGGGCTCAATCCTCCGACCCTGGGATCATGACCTGAGCTGAAGGCAGATGCTTAATTGACTGAGCCACCCAGGCACCCCTTCATCTTTATTTTTAAACATTTATTTATTTATTTGAGAGTTGGGGAGGGGTTGAGGGAGAGGGAGCCTTAAGCAGACTCTGTGCTAAGTGTGGAGCCTGACATGGGGCTTGACCCCACAACCTGAAATCCTGACGTGAGCCAAAATCAAGAGCTAGATGCTCAACCAATCACCCAAGTGCCCCCTAATCTTTTCCTTTTAAATTGACCTAATTCTTCATGATCTTTTATCCTTCCAGAAATGTTTTAGAGTAAGGTTATCAAGTTCCTAAAGACATCTGGTAGATTTTCACTTGAACTGAATATATTTTATTGGTTGAGGTGAATATATGATTGACTTGTAGAAATGGATTACTTCATGATTTGAACACATACCATCCTAGATTGTGGCAGGAATACTCCCATTTTTGGATATCTGAATACTCTTTAGTCTTTTAATAAAATCTAAATTTTTAAATCAGATATCTTATGCATATTTTGCTAAATTAACCCTAAGACACTTCTGTATCTTAGGGTTAAGATATGAAGACTCATATCTTCATATTAAGAGAAGTTTAAAAATTCATTGGAACATACAGATTTCAATCTCTATATTTTTTGGGGGGCTAAGCTTAATCCAGGTATTTATATCATCATCATCATCATCATCATCATCATCATCATCAATCTTTTCCTTTATCTTTTCTAATTGATTATTATTTCAACATGGAAAACTAATTTTTTAATATACATATAAATTGTGTGTCCAGTGGACATAGTAAATGCTAAGTATGGAGTCCCATATTAAATCTTTTTAAAAAAGCTCTTGGAATAACTGGGGAGCTACCCAGAGAAAAGTTCATTCAACCTGATCCTCATGTCTTGTAACAGATAACATCAAGATGGAATCAAATATTTAAAATAAAAAAAGGTGCAGTGGGTTAATCCTCTGCCTTCAGCTCAGGTCATGATCTCAGGGTCCTGGGATGGAGTCCCGCATCGGGCTCTCTGCTCAGCGGGGAGCCTGCTTCCTCCTCTCTCTTTGCCTGCCTCTCTGCCTACTTGTGATTTCTCTCTCTGTGTGTCAAATAAATAAAAATCTTTTTAAAAAAGTGTCTTAAAAGCTCTAGAGGAAACTATGGGAAATTATTTTATAGTTCCAGAATATGGATGCCCTTATTCTTTTTTTTAAAATATTTTATTTATTTATTTGTCAGAGAATGAGAGAGAGAGAGCAACACTGAGAGAGAACACAAGCAGGGGGAGAGAGAGAGGCAGGCAGAGGAGAAGCAGGCTCCCCACCGAGCAGGGAGCCTAGTGCAGGACTGGATCCCATGATCCTGGGATCATGACCTGAGTCGAAGACAGATGGTTAATGACGGAACCACCCAGGTGTCCCAAGGCTGCCTTTATTCTTGACACAAATCTCAGGAAGTATACAAGAGGAGATTGCTCTACTACTGAATGAAAAAATACAGAGCAGTGTGCGTAATATATAGTATGCTACTCTAAAAATTTTTTAATGCAAAAAGTAACTCTGAAAGGACAAATAAAAAATAAGAACCTAGGCAAACTGTGAGAATGGGAAATGAATGGTGTTGAGTCAGAGGGGTGTGTTTTATAGTTTTCTAGTTTGAACTACTTAACAATATCAGCTGTTAAAAATTGAAATCACCACACAATTTGAAGGGGATCAGAAAAAAAGAATCCAACCCCCTTACTTTATCTTCAATGTTTATAAAATTTTCTGGTATATTCTCTTGTGTTTTCTAAGCATAGAATCACTATCTGCCAAAAATGACACATTTACCCCCACTTTTCAGATTGCATTAACTGTCCTTTTTGCTCTTGTCTAATTGCATTAGCTAATATCTCTAATGCCATGATAGAACTATGGCTGTGTTTTGGTTGTTTCTTACTCGTTTGGCTTTTGATTTTGCTCTCTCGCAATAAACAGTATGTAATTTTTATGCAAATTTGTAAACCTTTTTATGGTTGGCTTTTGGGTATTGTGTTTTGCTCAGAAAACCTTCTAGAAACACCCAGTTAAATTTTCCCTCTACTTCTGTGATGCTGCTTTTCTTTTTTCTTTTAAAAAACCACTTTATTGAGGTGTGGTTGACATATCAAAAGCTGTATATGTTTAATGTACAGAACTCAGTGAGTTTGGAGATATTTGATCCACCTGGAATTTATTTTGGTATAGGGAGAGAGGGTCTCATGGGGCATGTTTTTGCTGCGTGGATAATTGTTGGGGGTGCTTCCTTAGGGACGACCTGACCCAGTTGCCCTTCCTGACCATGTGCATCAAGGAGAGTCTGCGGTTGCATCCCTCAGTCACAGTCATCTCCCGCTGCTGTAGCCAGGACATTGTGCTCCCAGATGGCCGGGTCATCCCCAAAGGTGCCCACGACCTCAGGGGGAAGGAGCCTCCTGGGCAGGAAGAGGGGCCCATCAGGCAGGGGGAACCTCTTCCTGACTGGCTCCTTGTCTCCCACAGGTGTTACCTGCCTCATCAGTATTTTTGGGACCCACCACAACCCATCTGTGTGGCCAGACCCTGAGGTGCTGCAACCCCCTCCAAACCCACAGCACACCCTCCTCCTTGTCAATTCTCCTAGGGGAATCTAGGGGAGGGCGCAGGGTTCTGACCTGGCAAATCAAACATCACCTCCCCCCACCATACACGTCTGCCTCTCCCAAGCTTGCGGTCCTGGGAAACCTCAACCAGCAGCCCTGCCTCTCTCCACCCTTAGGTATACAACCCCTTTCGCTTTGACCCAGAAAACATCAAGGAGAGGTCACCCTTGGCTTTTATTCCCTTCTCTGCGGGACCCAGGTGAGCTCAGGGGGTATCGAGGTGGGAATGGGGTGGTGGGGCAGGGGTCTGGGACTGAGATCCCAGACAAGGCTATGGGGCGGGAAAGGGGGAAATTGAGGATGGCTCTCCTTCTCTCCCCTCCTCCAGAGGTTAGAGGTAAGGGTCTGGGAAGTGGAGGTAGGGTAGGTCCAACTGGGGGTCCGCGGTATGGGCCGCGCCCCTTCCCCCGTCTGCTGGCCTGAGTCCAGGGCTGGGGTCCGAGCCAAGCTCGGGGATAGGCAAGCCCACATGGGGGTCCCAGGCATGGTTTGCTCCCCTTCTGGATCCCTGCGGGCGGGGCAAAGGGTCCCGGACCAGGTTCTGGGCGCCATGGGGCCTGCTGGGGTCCCTGGCGAGTCAGAGCCCCCACTGGTGCCCGCAGGAACTGCATTGGGCAGACGTTCGCCATGACCGAGATGAAGGTGGTCCTGGCGCTGACGCTGCTGCGCTTCCGGGTCCTGCCGGGCGAGGAGGAGCCGCGCAGGAAGCCGGAGCTGATCCTGCGCGCGGAGGGCGGACTCTGGCTGCGCGTGGAGCCGCTGAGCGCGGCACCCCGGTGACCCAGACCCTACACGCCTCACTTTGCGGATTCCCGGGAACGAAACTGTGCCATCTCCTCTGTCCGAGCTTCATCGAGAGCCAGCAGGGGGCGCTTGGGACCTGTAGGAAGGCAGGGGTGGGTGAGGCGGGGTGGAGGGGAGCCTGGTGTCTGAGCCCAAGACCCTGACAGCCTTTCCAGCTGACTACAGGCCCCATGCTGATTTCGGGTTCTCCCAGAATCAAACCTGTGGTTACTCCAGATTTCCAATCAACAGAAAATAGAACAAAGAAAATCATGCTAAAACTCTCGCCTCTCCAGGTGGTCTCTCTCATTTCAACACCTGGCAAGGGGGCTCCAGACTCCTGCCAGCCCTCCATCCATATGATGTGGTTTGAAGTTTGGGGTTCAGAGCCCCCCGCCAAGAAAGAATTCTTGACATCTTTGGTGCAAAAAGGTGATTTTATTAAAGCACAGGGACATGAGCTGCTGCTCTGGGACTGTGAGGAGCAAGTGACTATATACTTTGGGACTTGGGGGAGGTAAAGATAAAGGGAAATTTCTAAGTTGAGTTTCCTATGGTAAAGAGTCGCGGGATACTAGAGGCCTACTTATTATCAAGCTAAGGTTTGTGTTTTTTTTTTTTTTTCTCTCTAGCAGAGCATTAATATTAAGATAGTTGGGTGTTTACTGGAGGAATGTATACTCTGCCTGCTTGAAGTATTTTGCCAATGGGCTGCAGGTCATAAAGAAATTTAATTTTATCTTTATTTCCTTCTGCCTTAGTTCCCCACATCAACCCCCACCCCCAAGTTTTGGCCCTAAAATCTTTAAGGTTGCTGAGGATGGAAGGCTTCTCTTCTGTAACTTCTTCCTGCTGAATAGGGGCATAGAGATGTCCTTACCTTTGGGTCGACATTGGTCAGTTGGAAATAGGAGTTAACCTATTAATATAGGAGTTACCAAAGGCAGAGGCTGCCAATCCAAGGTAGACAACGTATGTGAACCTCCTTGAGTAGAAAGAATTATCTGTTGGCTGGAAGTTATGGCAGTGAAAGAGTCTTGGCACCAGGCAGGAAGACATCAGAAAGGACAACAAAATAAGGTTAATATTATATTAAGAAAGAGAAGCCTGAAAAAACCCCCAAAACTTTGATAATTGACCAAAATCTTTCTCCAGTCCAGGAGTTTAACCAGTCACTAAAGGAAAGAGAGAGAGATCATTTAAAGTGCAATTTGAATATCTATATCTTTTAGCAGTATCTTTTGGTGATATCTTTTAAGTGATATCTGGAATCTTTTGGTGATATCTGAAATTCATACCCAACATTTTGTTTCTATGCTCGCGTATGTTCCATCTTGTGTAGTTAAAATACCCAATACCATTTTGAGAGTCATTTAAGGACTTGTTGACATAGCAAGTGGTGTTATCCATCATACACTCTGTTTTATTTAGCAAGCAATCAGGTAGTTAATAAGAGGCACCTTTATGGAAACAAAAGAAAAAAATATAGTTTAATGGTCTGAGCAAATTATAAACCCGGAGTCAAGTGCTTAAAATCTAATAGCTACAAAGATATGTTGTTGAAATATTTTCTTTCTGTAATAACCCTCATTTTTAATCTGAAATAGCCAAATCAGGACCAATTCATTTGAAAAATGTCCAGTTTTTATAAACTTGGCCTAATTATTTATGCAAGCTTAGCAAGAATAATGTTTGGCCATATAGATCTTTCAAAATCTGCTTTGCTGGAACTTTCAAAAGGAATCTCAACTGAATTTTGTAGCTTCTCTAGGCCAGAAGCCAAGCCAAGTGCTTGTCATCAGACATGGCTGCAGTACCTGTAGATTTGGGTGAATTCCTCTCCATGAGGTCCCTAAAGTATTCTGAGTTTCCTGCATCTGCCAGGAAATGACATTCTCTACTTACCTTGTGAGGCTCCTGGGAACTCTATAAGCAGGTATCAGGCCAACAGTTCCAAGGGGCTTTATGATTCTTCATTTCATAAAGTCAACGTTAGTTTCTTAAAGCTGTTTGGTCATACCTGAGTCTATGCATGCCTCTCTCAAATATGACATTCCAGTCAAAGCCTTGGTAAAATAACCAATGTTTCCAATGGTGTCCTCTTACAAGGAGAGCAGATTCTTATTGAACTTATGCAGATAGCTGTAATTGCCCTTAAAAGAAAGAACGTTCACTGAGACCTTCTGAATTTCAGAGGGTTCAGGTAGAGAGAGAAGTTAAAGTCTTCAGTTTGTTCACAGATGAATTTTTTTTTTCCTATTTCTGTAAGTCATAGATACTTTAAGAAAAGATTTCCTTAGTCTGGAAAAGCAAACATTAAGAGAACCAGGAATGTTTCAAACAAGGGTCACAAAAGCTGTCATCTTCCTCAGTTTAGTTAGTTCCACGTTACTAATTCTTGTTCAGTTTGAATGTAGCTTTTAGTTAGTTCTCAAAATTTAAAAAAAATTGTAAAGATATCAAACCCTATATTTATCAAAAACCCCTTTTTATGAATCTCCTTGAAGATGAAACATGTTTCACAAGAGAATACAAACAATAACTATGTATGACAAAAGACTCAAAATGGACATAGTTAAAGATCTGATGAGCAGTTACAACATAACTGGCAAGGAAATCCAGTTATTTCTGACAACTAACACTTCAATAATTAGGACATCAGGTGATGGCCTTATATCAGAGTATATTAAAACTTTGGGAATTTCGTCTATCTCTAGGATAGTTATAGTATTTACCCAAGCAATACAACCCAAGGCTTATCACTGACAGAGCTTTCCAAGTAACTTAACACACCAAATAAAAAAGCCAAGGAGTCAAAGACTTTCAATTGAAACCCCAGGGGATTTTGTTAAAAAAACCTCAGAAAGTTATAAAGCATATGCTCAAATAAAATTACAGATCATTACAGAATTTAAACCTTAATTATTTGTTTAACCAAGGTGGCAAAAAAGGGATTCCAAAGGTAAATATGTAAGCTTATATAGTCGTTAACAAAACTCAGATCCCATAACATTGAGAAGCTTTAACTAAGTGATCAAAGACTTATCGATGAAACATAGAAAGTGGTTTTCTGGGCAGACAAAAGAGGAGAAAAACCCTTTGTTTCCATTTTCTTATCGAGAACAGACCAACAATTCAAGAAAACATTTTTCTCTTGAACAGAGAGAAAAGCAGAATTTCTGTCTTATATCAGTGTACTTTAAAAATTTTTATTATTATTATTGTTATTATTATTTTTAAAGATTTTATTTATTTATTTGAGACAGAGTGAGAACACAAGCAGGGAAGAGGATCAGGGGGAGAGGGAGAAGTAGACACCTGCTGAGCAGGGAGCCTGATATGGGGCTCAATCTCAGGACGCTGAGATTGTGACCCAAACCGAAGGCAGATGCCCAACCACCTGAGCCACCCAGGTGCCACTATTATTATTATTTTTTATTAACATATAATGTATTATTTGCTTCAGAGGTACAGGTTTCTGAATCATCAGTCTTAGACAATTCACAGCACTCACAATACCACATACCCTCACCGATGTCCGTCACCCAGCCACCCTACCCTCCCCCTGCCCCCATTCCCCAGCAACCCTGTTTGTTTTCTGAGACCAAGAGTCTCTTAAGGTTTGTCTCCCTCTCTGGTTTCATATTGTTTCATTTTCCCCTCCCTTCCCCTATGATCCTCTGTCTTTTTCCCCTCAAATTCCTCAAATTAGTGAGATCATGTGATAATTTTCTCACTCTGATTGACTTATTTTGCTTAGTGTAATAGCTTTTAGTTCCATCCACATTGTTGCAAAAGGCAGGATTTCATTGAATCCAATTTTTAACTGCAAAATTTAAATGCAAGTAAATAAAAGTGTTGGGAGGGAAGTAAACTTCCCACTAACACTAAAGGAGAGGAATCTCAAGAATGACTGCTTAAATTGAAATGACCACATTTGGGAGGAAGCTGTGGGAGTTTGGAGGCTAAACTGACCAGAAGACACGAGGCACATGGGCTGAGATTAGTCTAGGGAGTGTCCATGGCCTTGAACAGAAAATCGCCTTTGGAAAGGCTGCTCATTCTGCACCTAGTTGCCTGGATTCTTTCTCCCACCATTTTATTTGATGATAAACTATCTGCAGATTTCAGTCTCTGTGCTGATCTAGGAAGGAAGAGAAATGTGGGAGGTCTGAAGGCAGCACTTTCCTTTCAAGGACAGGAAGAGATTAACTGAGCACAGTGGGGACAGCTCAGGGCAGAGTGGGCTGCCGCTGATCTGAGGGCATGTGCAGTGTCTTTGGGCTACATTAAGGCTCACAACCCTGGGATCTGAGCCAGGCTGCAGGAAACAGGTGAGATAAGAGCTGGGTAATGTACACATTTACTCCACCCTGACAGGCTGGACTATGGGTTTATGGTTCTTCTCCTTTGACCCATTTAGCTTCCACTCCCAATATTCCTCTGTACAGAAGGCTCAGTGTGTGAAGAATTGTAAGCCAGTACCATAAGCCACAATTTATCCTAGGATCCAGAGTCTAGACAGAAGGAGGAGAGGTGAAGGTGTAATCTCTTCTCACTTATCAGGAAGGAAATCAGCATCAGAAAATTCACTCTCAGTGGGGTCAGAGGGTGAACCTGGAAATCCATGGGTGAAAGTGTGTCCGTGGCAGACCGGGAGCTCTCCACTCTCCCCTGCCCTCCCTTGAATGAATTTCTCCCCAAGAGGATGGGAACAAAAATTTAATCCCTGGAAGTTCCTTGCCTGACAGAGACTCTGATTCTGTTTCTGGTGGTCACTTTCCTCAGTGTTACTCTGACAAAGGGGAAGAGGCTGACCTGCTAGAATCCAGGGTGACTGGAGTGACCCAGGCCTCCCAGTGTCCATCACACAAATAAAGGAGGCCACCAAGCTGGGGAAGAGATTGGAGAAGAAAGAGTGGTCATAGTGGACTGCTGTGGGAATGGGATGGAGGCAGAGGGGAGCTGTGCCCCCATCTCGATCTCCAGCTTGGGAAGCACCTCATGTGACCCATCAGCTGAAGCTGGAGTTGGGACCGGCAGGATCGAGAGCCTCCCTAACAAAGAGCAGGGAGTGAACGGGA